CCAGGTGTGAAATCGTAAAAAAGAGGGCAAAAAAAAAAAAAAAAAAAAAAGAATTAATCCGATGGAATTTTATTTTTTATTTTATTTTTATTTTTTGAGTTGTATAATCTGTTTACGCGGAAATGAAAAAAATAATATTTAAATTAAATTGTGTTTTATTATTATTTGTATATTTTTCAGCTTTATTGAAGGATTGTCGTTTTCTTCGTTTACCCATTTGTTCCCATTGCGTTAGCGCGTCGTCAGGCTTACGACACCGTCCCTGTTGAGGTTGGAGGCTTTGATTCTAATTTCTATGCGACTTGTCGTCTCCTCTACAAACTTCTTCCTTTTTTTCTTAATTTTACTTTTTTACTATTGTAAAAAAAATTAAAAACTTAATGGTTATATTAATATATTTTAATTCGAAAAAGATTTTTCTTTTTTATTTATTTTTCCATTGCTATGATTACATTAATAAATAATGGAAAGGAAGATATTATTTTTTTCAAAGAAAAGAAAAGAAAAAGAGGAATATGTATTATTTATTTTAAAAAATTGCCTTTAGAGGGTCCGTTTCCATTCATGTCGTTTTAATAAAATCAGAAACGCGGTATTCTGTGACGTCCCACGTGGGAAAGCCTACCACGTGTGTCCACGTGGCATACATGCAGATATCATAAGCGAAAGTCTGTCGGACCCACCGGTCATATTGTTCACACTATGACTTATTCCAAGTCACTGTTCACACAGTCAGCAATTCGCACCATTCAAAACCCGCCACGTACCCAGAAGGTGGAAAAGACAAACTTGGGAATAAAAGTAATCTGGAGTTTTCTTGAACGACACGTCGTCCTTAAACCGACTTTAATACAGTATTTGAGGAGTAAAAACTGTGATGTGGTCAAAAGAAATTCTTTCACATTGACCGTCCTTGGAATTTCTAATGGGTCCCTCGCGACTCAGCTTGCTGAGGTGGCGAGTGGTGACATCAATTCTTCAAAGACCATTATTTAATTTCTTGGGGAATAATTGTTTTACAAAGTTTTTTCTTAATTTTTTTTTTAATTTTAATTTTAATTTTTAAGTTGAATGTCAAAGGGAGAAGTTACAAGAAATGACAGCTTAGCCACGAAATGTCGTTAATTAAAATGTTAAAAGTTCGATAATAAAATATTACCAAACAAACCGTTAGATACTAATTTAGGGAACGATTATGAGTTTTTAATCAATGAATACTTTATTTATTGGTGTGAGGTATTTTGGGGAGCTTAGCTCAAAGCAAAATCATGAGAGCAGGTCATACTTGTTCAAGGCGTGTTGTCCATGGCTGCAAACTCATGTCATGCTAAACCCTTATATATACGTTTTGCCTTTCTTAATTGCCAACTTACAATATTATTTTCAAACCCTCGTACGGTAATCTCTCTACCCATGTTTTTAAAAATCCTCTTTTCAAAGCGGAAACAGAGATTTGGGTATATGTTATCTAGTCGAAAATAACACAAATTTGAGTTAGCTAATTCACTCAATGGTGAGAGTGAGAGTCGTACTATTGCAACACCATACATACATATGAGTTGCGACACCATTTTCAAGTTGATGCAAAGATGGATCACTACTTACAAAAAAAAAGCCCACTAGCATCAATGCAGGCCCAGTATGTGTGCCAATTGGGCCACTAACGAATTAACAACCGAATCATTAAAGAATTTATTTTTCTATTGTGTCGATTGATAAGATAAATGAAAAATGAAAATATTCACAAAGAGAGAAGAAAATAAGGTTTTCGGTGTTTTCTATGTTCCTGTTTCTGGCCGAGACACTGATCCATGGGCCTAGTTGACAAAACAAAGCCCATGGAGGCCCACAATAATTGTCGGTTAAATATATATATTTTATTGTTTATATGGTCACTATTTTTTTTTTTTTTTTTTAATTGAGAGAATATTTTAAAAGGCAGGTTGTGACATAATTGGTAAGAAGCCGAACTCAGCTACTTTTGTGACTGAACTTAGAATGTTTGTCTGAAACGACAGAGTCTACTAACAACCTTAAATAGTTGCCTAAACAGTACTTCTTATTCTTTCAATGACTATTTTTTTTCCTATTATATTTTCGAGTGCAAAAATAATTATTCAGTACTTTCTCAACCACTTACCATTATTATTTAACAAAAATAAAATAAAATAAATAAATAACAAAAGATCCTCAACCGAGTTGATATCTTATTTTATTGTGTGAATCGTCTACGTGTCATTTTATTCGATAGTGAAAGGTTCATGCACAATATACATTATTGAAAATTTTGGGTTTAAGAGAATCGATAGGTGGATTTACTTTAAAATTAATTTATACTTCTAAAATTATTTATTAATAATTATATAAATTTAAACTTTGAGGACACAAGATGTGGCTACGAAGCCTCAGCCTCTGTCTCTTTTTACCGGGCAACTAATTAAATTTGAGCTACCAACATCAATATGAATGTGAACGAGCATGAGTTTCATTAGACATCTCAAAATTATACACCTTTTGAATATGCAAATTTCATAAATCATTTACGGTTCTCTTTTTGGAATACTAACCACAAAGAAATATGGTCCCTTTGGTAACCGAGTTCATAATGTTGTGTCATTTTTCACATGTTCCAACCAAAAGGACTTGGACCATCAGGGGACCGACACCCACCTCGACAATGCGAGGTAGTAAAGTGCTTCCAACTCAAACTGCTTTCTCATTGGCAGACAAACCCTAAAACTGCATTTCTTTCTTTTCTCAGTAGATCTTAAGTTGATAATATTTCATTTATGTTTTCATATAGATAGTATTAATGTTGTTTTATCTGGTTTTGTTGCCTTTAACGTTTGACAAGTTTAAAACATGACTAGCTTTAATTCCTCAATAGAAAAGAGAACAACTTTTAGTTTCATATTTACACGTACTTTGTGAAAGTTCCTTCAAAAACTCAAATTAAGACGCGAGAAAATGTCGAGAAAGAACTTCCCGACTTCTACCACGGGAATAAACAGAAAAATAATCGAGACGTTAGAAAGAGAATTAACGTGAAAAACTCCGGTAGAAAGAACTATTCTTATTCTCTTCCATGCCTCGACTGTTAATTCAACCCAAACAATAAAGGTAAAAGTTAACATCTCGAGCCAACAATAGTCTTGAGAAGCTATCTAAGAACGTGTCGATTCAACCCAAACAATAAAAGAGAGCCTCAACTTGAAAGAAAAATGATAAGACGCTCCTTAAGCGTTGAGACCCTTTTATATGAAACATCCATGCTCATACGATTATAATGTTTTTTTAACTAAAATCTTACGTTCATTTGAGGTAATTTAAAGTTAGAAATGAGACGTGAACGGACTTCGAGAATTTGACATTTTTATATGTAGTTTTTATTGGGATTGGTTTAGTAGCCGTTTAACACTATGAAAATAATAACAAAGACTAGAAGCCGTGAAAAATCAATGTCGATTTAATCAAGAAAAATATCTTTTTGATGACTCTAATGCGACGTTTCAACTACTTTAAAGTGGTCGGTTAACCAAATAAAAAGACAATAAATTTAACTATTTTATTTATTTAATTAGCTAGATTAAATTTTAATATAAAGTGTTTTGTTTAATTAGTTTGAATTTTTATTATTATGCAATTTGTATGCATTTTCCAATTTAATATATAAAAAAATAATGATGGGTGGCATTTTTTTCAAATTTGTCCCAATTCTTCTGAAATTTTCAATACCTAATTATTTTATTTTTTATTTTTTATTTTTAATGAAGTCCATACATTATAAAACATTTAAAACATGTTGTGAAAATATAAAATATATTAAAATATATGTTTATTTTTTGGAGTGGATATGTATAACCCCATTCCATGCCTAGAAAATTTGTCACAAATGGAGAATGAATTAATCCATCTAAAAAATCAAAATTTTAAAAATTTAATATTATTTTAATTAAAAAAAAATTTAAAATCAACATTGGCAAAGAAAAAAAAAAAACTCTCTCTAAATATCAACCCGACATTTGGTTGAAATTTTCATCTATAATTTTACGAATTTAAATATTAAATAGGATAATTGACTTTATTTTAGGTTAAATTAGATGTATAAGTTGAAAATATAAAATAAATAATAAAGTAGGATGGAAGTGGAGCTTGACCACTGGGTAAATGCTTGGTCACGTGCGTTATTCCTTTTCTGGCCAATATTTGGCACGTGTTCGAACACTGACCAGTCTCCTTGATGTCGGCCAAACTTAATCCTTCTTATTTATTTATTTATTTAGATTTCTACTTATTTTCTCCTATTATTAAGCACCACTCCATCAACCTTTTTAGATTTCGATTTTATTCAAATTCCTCAATAATTTAAAGTAAATAATAATAATAATAATAATAATAATTTAAAGTATTTCTTAAAATAGTAAATTTAACAAGTGGGTAAGGAAAAAAAGAAAACAAAACAAACGAGGAGTTATAATAATGATTATAAAAGTAACTAATTACAAGCCGACATGTCGAAAAAGTAGACAAAAAAAAAGTTGCCTCCGAACTGACCCCACTTGAAACGACACTACAAACGTTAAACGTTTCCTCTCCCTGCCTTCCGCTTACAAACAAAAATAAACGGTCGCCCTTTTATTGTCGGGTTTCGTCGGATCATTTTCACCAGCTCCGAGTCCGACCCGGGTATACTAAATTAAATCATTTAAGTGATATTTTATTATTTTATACTCGTGATTAATTAGTAATTTAATTTAAGAAAATGTTAATTAGAAATAAAATATTATTTTTTAAAGGACGAGATAGAAGAAGTCAAATCGGAATACATGTGTGTGTGTTTTTTTTTCTTTTTTTAATTTAGTTTGAAGTAAAGCAAAAATTTCACGGCGCCGAAATGAGCTAAT